CTATGGGGGCAGAGGGGATGGCTGGGGGGATGAGCAGAGCCGAAAAGAGAAGGGAAGTATCGTCTTTATTACTTCACTGAAAGCTATTTTAGGCCTTTTAGGCAGCAAACCGTAGCTGTTTCTCTGTTTTATTCTCAGGTGCGGCGAGGCTTGGCTGGGCAGGTAGGAGCTATAACCCCGTGCAGATTTCCATTTCCCTGCCGGCAGCACAGGCTAGGAGCGCCTTTATCTGCACAGGAAAGGCTGAGCCGGCGCCTCTGAGGTGTCTCCGCCTTGAGCTCCTAGAAACACAGATACCGAAAACCCATCGCTTAAATAGTCACGGCCTCCCTTTGCCTTCAGATAACGCCTATGCTGATGTACGCTGATGAGAGAGTTAATGAAACATTAGAGGAGGCGGGGAGAGATAGGCGCGGGCAGGAAAGCACACCTGCAGGCCCTTTCAAGAGTCTCTCGGGGCTGACTTTATCGGGAGGGCCACGGCAGGCGCGCAGCTGGGCCGGCAGGAACCAGGAGGTGCAGAGGTGGTCTCTATGGTTAGTGTAGAAACCTGTTTGGGGAGAGCTTCCTGAAACTTTCTTCCTCGCCGTTTGCGAGGGCTCCTCTGACAGATGTGTGCGCAGAGAGCATCTTGGAGCTGTAGCGATGAGTAGTAACTTAAGCAAGTAGTAAAAGTTGTTTCCCCATGAAACAAAATTTCCTCGGGTGTGCGTCAGGCTAGTGTGTCAATGCGGATCCATGCAGCCTGAGAAGCGGAGGCTCTTTTAAAAGAAAATTTAAAAATCAGCAATTGTTCTGATACTCAAACGGATTGGAAAAATGCCTTATAGAAATGTCATGTATCAAGAGGCATTGTAAAAAAACCAACAACCTGATCACAAATAATTTATGGAAAAATAATAGCTGAGTGAATACATTTTACAGCCCTTAACAATGAGCTGTATAACCACTGCCAGCTTGCAAATACGGCTGAAGGCAGAATTTGGACGTCTGTGTTTTTTCTTCATTATCTTACCTGCATCAGTCACCGAGAGCAAAAAAGTCACAAACAAGTTTATGCTGGTACCGGGGTCTTCAGTGAAAACTGCTGAGGCATCAAAGTCAAGTTCAAAGAAAAGAGGCAAACAAAGAGAACAAGTGCCTTTGGTCAGGAAACACGACTTCTGTTTGAATTAAGACAGTAGCCTGGTGATTGGAAGAAGCGGCCAGTGTCTTTCCTTGGCCGCCCAGGCAAAATGCCACCATTGCTGCTCAGCAACGTCTGGGCTATCGACAGAATCAACCTGTGCTAGGGAACAAGCAGGCAAGCAAGATGCAGACCAGTGCCTCAAAACCGTTCTTGCCTGAACTGAAATATTTTTAACATGCTCTTTTCCATTTTTTGGAGGCTTTTTAAAAAGAAAATTTTAAATAGGTTTCTAGGAACAATGGCTTTTTCTGTTCTTTGCCGTCACCCCTGTCTCAAATCACGGCTGAGGTAGAAATACAATTACATGTGGCAGGAGTAAGAGGAGGTGATGATTATGATGCTCCCAATCACAACCCTACAGAAACACCCTCTGCTTACGTGCCTGACTGTGTGGGCTTGAGGGAGGGCTGGTGGCCATTGACTTAGCTGGCCTGGATGAGGATCAAGATTGCAAATACTGAGAAAAAAACCATTTTTCTGGCTTTTTCGAAGGATCACTCTGTGCTACAGAATGTTCAAAGCTGCAGTCTATGCTTTACCCTCAGCAGACTTGTTATTTTGGCTCCTAACTACAAAGTCTGGCTCTTTCATTCAAGCTGTAATGTTTTTTCCCAAATCGGTCCAAGCTCTGGCACTTTTTCAGTTTAGGCTTGTAGCTGTCACATACGTCAGATCTGTGGGAGTTGGACCCCTGGGACTCTCTGCATAGAGAGCCGGAGAATTACAGGGTCTAGCTGGGAAACTCCTCATGCTCTGGTATTTTCCTTTATTTTTGCCCTGGCTCCTTTGCCTTTTCATTTTTAATTAGTGGCACATGCTGAAATGATAATTTAAATTCTTTCCAGAAATCAAAAGAATTCCCACTGACAACATTATTAAGTTATAATTACAGTCAAGAAAAAAGGTTAATAGGAATTTGAGCCAAATATCTACTCTCCATTAAATGAGAACTTGACTGAACCTGCTTGCCCTTCATTTTGGTAGGTTACTCCAGGTTTAAATGGGTCCGGGATGACTATACACCTGTGCAAAGGGCCACTGCAAGGCCAAATAGCCATCGTCAAGACCATTTACATGGACCTGTCTCAGGACAGGTCTCACCTGACCGATGCTCAAGACGGAATTTAACAGGCAGGTAGGACTTCTCTTGGACCTCTAAAAGAAAGATGTGTATTTCAGACGGTAAACAGAACATGGTCACGTGGGGATGGTTTGTGTGAGAGAGACATGTAGGAGGTGGTAGTTTGTGGCAAAGGAAACTTAGCGAGTATTAGCGGGGGAAAAATAACCAGGTTCCTGGGCTACAGCATTCAAACAAAGCCTCTTCCTTCCCTCATGCAGAGTGCCACATGCATGCAGAAACATATGCAAATCTTCCCTAATCTACCAAGTGTTTTGCATTTTCAATGAAATGAGGGGAAAAAGAAACATTTTGCTCTGTATTAGCTCTAAGTGTGCCCATCAACAAGACAATTACTGCAATGGTTTTGCATGTTAAAAATGGGTTTTAAAGCAACTGAAGGTGTAGGGGGAAAAAACCCCAATCCTTATGCTGGGCACCTGCTGAGCCTCCATGTTTCCTGGCATGGCTCCACACTGGGCACTAGGTAATGATCTGTTTAAACTCAGCCACGCTGGGTGCAGTTACAGCCTACAAGCCCTACAAGGCAAGAGCTTTGCCTTGAAGACCTGTTGTAAGCTTGGTGTTTCTTTTTCCCTTTTTTTTCTTTTAAGCTGTAACGCGTTGCTTAAGCTGTGGCATGCCTCAAAGGCAGACCTTTCCCTCTTCCCAAGTTGCACACCATCGAGCCCTGCCGTCCTCCCTCACGTCTTGCACAAGCGTTTTTACGGCGTGAGCCCGCAGCCTTTGCACAGGCAAGTGTTCCTGCAGACTTCCCCTTCTCTGTAATCCATACCGAGCGCTGGGGCCCTGCCTGCGGTAATTGCTCCGAAACTACCTCGGGGCTGGCTCTCCCCCAGCCCCCCAGCATTCGATGAGAGCCCAAACTGCCCATGGGGTTTAGATGGGAAACACAGGCAAAACTTGGAGGGGGCTGCTGCAAGCACCAGTCCCTTCTCACACTGAAAGCCAAAAGCACATGAGAAGGGATCTTGCAGAGGGTGAAAAAGGCTGAAAAAGGCCTTTTTGCTCCTCCTTTTCTGTGCACTGCCTGGCTTGAGGGCCAGCACGTGGCTTCAGCTGGGAGGACTAGGCAGGCTGCTGGGAGAGGAGTAAAAAGGATGGGAAGGCACCTTTGGGGGCTCTCAGCCTATACATGGCTACACACGCTTGGAAAGAGGAATGAATTCCTTCATGGAGCTGAAGCCTGTGCAGAATATCAGTCTGACTTTGAAGCGCTTACATCAACTTAAATTTCAGCAAACAATTTATTTTCAAGCTACTAAATAAAATACAATTTTTTTCCTGGCAGGTTGCATCTTTTTTCGCTTCGTTTTGTTGGCAATTGCTTTCACTCTCTAGCATTCCTGGGGCTGAATGTCCTCAGTGCTTATGCTGCATGAGGCTCTGCAGGTCTGCCCAATTATTTGCTGTGCAGCCTAACGCACCAGGTTTCAAAGTATATTCTCACCTCTGGTTTCGTAAGACAAGCGTGAAAAAATCTGTTCTACAGTATAGGAACTCCAGAATATTTTGCTTTTATTCAGTTGGTTACTGAGCTGATGGTCTTAGATGAAAAATAAATTATCCAGTGTTTTGGGAGAACAGCAGTTTTGCACAAAAGGTGCAGTAAGCCTCTGGCCGGCTGAAGCTGACCTGGACTTTGGTGTCACTAGAGACGTGCCTCAAGCCCGCAACAGCAACATGCTAAATGCTTACTGTTCTGTGCTGTGCCCCTTCCACTTCCTTAACAGTCAATGAGAACCAAGGATGTTGCACTACCTATGGTGTGCAAAACTCTATTCCTTACTTATCTAAGTGTGCTGGAAAAAACCTTCTGGGCTTGATTGTTGCCTATAACAACACCGCCAAAACACTAAAGACAAACAAGATTAGGAGACGAGGCAGGTTTAAGTAAAAAAGAACACACTTTATTTATCTACAAGGCAGTACATTGTCGTATAAAAAATTAAGTGCAGATGAAGCTGCACCAAACGCTATTAAGGCAGCAAAGTCGAAGGCTGTTATAAAAAAAACAAACAATAAAAAAATAAAATAAAATCAGTGTTTCGCCATATCGATAAAGATTTCGTATGGCAGTACGAAGAACCATATATTTCTAAGAACCTGATTCAGTACACAAGACCCAAGTTAGGGAACAATTAGCAAGACATGGAACAAAACAAACAACATGAACAAGACAGTGTTCTCCCAAACATATGAAGGTGCAATGCATGCTGTTACAAACCAATGAGAAACAAAACAACACATCCAGACAAAAAAAAAAATCTCCCAGGAACAGTGTTCAAAAATATTGCTTATAAAAAAAGGGGAAAAAATATAAATGATATAAAAAAAATTAAAATAAAAAGGTCTGAAATGCTAGTGCATAGTCAATTAGCTAACATCAACATTTGTTTTCTTTCCATATAAAGCTCTACTGCTCCTTTTACACTAGCAGCATGTCTACACGCTAAGGTCTGTAGCAGCAAAACACAGTATTCATTTGGCATTTACAAAATTAAATTACTGAATAAAAATATAATTTTTCTCATAAATCTATGTTTCATACAGTAATATTTTTTCAAGCAAGCTAATTACCCCCCCCCAAACAGAAACACACAATGTATAATGGCCTAGAACCATAACAGAATGGAAGAGTATTTCAAGAGGCATGGATGTTTGAGCATTCACGATCTTGATCAGTTTTCCCCCTTTGCACAGACTAGCGTTTGTAGTAATGCTTTTCACTTCGGTATTTTACACCAATGCATTTTGTTCAGTGATTTAAAATATATCTGTTTGAGTACCTGCTCTTTTATTATAAAAAAAATAAAAAAGAAACAAACAAAACCCCACCCCTGGCTAGCACATCACTGAAATAACAATACTGGTGTATTAGGTCTGCTTGATCTCAGAAAGTACAAAAAAATTACCTTTATTGTAAGTCTGCACTTAAGATCATTAATAACTGATTCAAACTTAATACCTAATAATTTAGGCAAGTATCATTTATTAAAAAAAAAAAAAAATCCTCTTAAGTTGGGTGAAATCCAACAAGAATATATATGCTGAGTGACTAAATGCACTTTGTGCTGCTCCCAACTGTTGTACCACAACAAAGATAGGCTCTTCTCCCATTCATGAAAAGTTTTCATGCAGAGGAACAGGAATTTCCCAGCGGAGGTGAAGTGTTCTCAAAACCATAATGCTTCTCTGTCCGTCGACCCTTTCACATCACCAGAGTCCGGGTGGGGAAGGCGGCCATGTACTTGCGCGCCTGATCCGTCAGGGCCATCTGATCCTCGATCTTCCCGCAGGACGCTGACTCCCAGGCGTTGTTTAGATGCTAAATTAGAAGCAGGCATTGAGATTTGGGGTGAATGTCATGTGATTTATTAGTAGCCCCAGCTGAAGCTGGGCCCGCTCGCAATTAAGTGTTGCATGAACACGCAGGATGTTGTCCCATCTCCAGAGAAATTGAAATCTCAATGCAACAGGCAAAAAAATACCACCCCCACTTCTCAGTGCCCCTGCAGAGGGGCACACCACAAGAGCCAGGATCCAAACCTCCCCACTTCTGCCTCAAAGTGTCTTCTCTACGAGGCCATATCTATAGCCTTGCCTTTAATCTTTCCCTTCTGTGAAAGGTCTAAAAAGAGAATTTATTTGCAGGTGGACTTTACAGTCAACAGGGCACAGAGAGGTTAAAGCCCACGGTTGTGATGTTCAGTGCTATCACCACACACAAATTCCTGTGGAACCTTCACTCTAGAAATACAGCTGCTCTGCCCCTGCATTCCCTAAACGAACCTGACAATCTTGGCAGCCTGACCACAGCTAACAGAAAGTCCCGCGCTCAAAGCTGCTTTCACCTGTGCACAGCGATTAGCACGTGCCCATTAGCAGAGCTCCTCCGGCAAAGGAGAAGGCGGGGGGGGACGACGACGACTCTCAGCAGAAACAGCATTTTAATTACTGTGTAAGCCATTTCACTTCTTGTGGTATTTATGGAGGTTACAGACACCACTTAGTATAATGTTAAAGTGAGATAAACATATCTGCAGAGGGCTGTGTGCACTGTATTTATTTACTTACTACACATGTGAGATGTTTCTCATTGCCTTGAGCTATAAACAGTAATGAAATTTCAAAGCTCCTGGAATTTACCAGTATATACACACATTTACACATGCTTTTATTTTTTTTTTATTGAACTCTTTCACTTACTCAGTGCGTCTGCTTTTCCACGTTGAGATATTCACTAAGACCTGAAAAAAACCTCTATTATATGGAGCTTGTTGCATGAATACCCTGCCTTCCAAAAATGCACACAACTGCTTAACGGAAAGCTGCCTGCTTTCCGTGAGGAGATCCCAGTACTGTCGAAGATTGAGGTCTACGCCCAAGATCCACGAACAAAGACAAGTCAGGAGAAACCCTTCTCTATTTTCCTCTGCGTTCAAGAAGGATCATCTTTGCAATTCACGATCTACATTGCTCAATGAGATGGCCAAAGCCTTCCCAATGTCTAGGACGCTGGGTGAAGCATAATTTAGTGGACCGCAAACCATCTGCTCAGAGCGAACTGTCCTGGCGTGCCCATGGCTCTTTATGCTGCTCCTTCTAGTTGCTAACTGCAAGAGGATCCTTAAATTATTCTCTGGCCTAAATGTTTGGAGACTTCTCTTCTGACTGTAAACAGTGTTATCTGAGACATATGGATAGTAAAAGGCTGGGCAACATATGGAATACAAATAATTTCTCGTAACATGCCCTAATCGGGACACTGGTACAAACACAGGGACCGAGGTTCCCTGCCTCAGAGGGCTTATAGTTTAAAAGGGACAAAACCAATGAATAAGCAAGCCGTGTGGCCAAGATGAGGGCAAGCATGTTAGTCCTCTGTAAACTTCTGCTGGGCTTCCCTAGAGATGGCTTTCCCTTCTCTGTAGAGAAGTTCCAAATGTTGTCTCTGCTCCTAATGCCTTTTCGCAGGCAAAACTCCTGCTGAGCTTCAGTGGGAGTTCTCTGTGTGAAGGAGAACCAGGTCAGGCCTCAAATCATTCAGTTTCTGCAGCTTTTTGGGGGAAAGCCGCATCTGTGAAGTCAACAAACATGCCATACACCTCTTTTTTCTGGGCTGGCTGTATACCTTGTGCTGTGGCTCAGCCTAGGGCACACACCACAGCCAAAAAGCAGGTGTGACATACTTTCTGCATGCCGCAGACATGCATGCGACACGCCACAACTTCTTTTATGTTTTGGTTAAACAGCTTCCAGGGTAACTTTTTCGAAGGCACCTACATCAGCTGGGAACGTACAGCCTCCTGTTGATCCTCAGTGTGACTCAGGCACCTGTGAATATTTTACCCTATTATTTTAGAGGTATTTGCATCAGGGACCAAATTAATGCCTGGTACAATGCCATCGGATTTACTTAGAAGTCAGTACACCTCAAAGAGCAGTTGGTAGTTCCAGAATATCCATCATTTCAAAGGACAAAAATACGTGTATTTCCCCGTGATCTCGAAAAGCTCAAATGCACTGCTCTAGAAAAGTGAGATCAGCAGTCCCCTAAATAACTGAAAACAGGTAAGGAAAACTCCATCTGTCACAGTATGTCAATTTTTAAAAAATAGAAGTAACTTCAGGCAAGAAGTGTCCCGATTTCTTAAATTAGGCTTAGTTGTTAGTATCTACACTGAGCTCTTTGTATTAACAGCCATGTGCTTAGAGAAGAAAAAATAATAAATCTGTATCCTGGTATCTCCAACATCTCAGCAGGCTGCTACATGTCACTCATTCCACTGAAAGCCTGGTCTTCGTTTAACCTGGTGTCAGCGCAGCAGAAGCCGCTCCGGGAGGCAGTAACCCTCTGCCCTCCCTCCGGGCTCGGCCGCCCCGGGGAAGCATTGGGCAGCAGACGCAGCAAGTGGCAGGAGGGTCAGCGAGACCCCTGACTTGAGCCTGCTTGAAACAACTTACTTAAGTTTTGCCGTAGAGACATCGCGGGAGAATCTCCCCAGAGAGTTTTGACCCTGGTATTATTTCCCCAGAAATACATTACACTATTTTTTTTCCTCTTATGACAAATTTGTAAGAAGAGACTAACTTTGCAGTCTCACTGGCGGTGGTGAGAGCTTTGCTCCATAAAGAAAGCAGAATTTGACCCAAAGTAGTATATTTACTAAAGTAGTATATTTACTAAGACAACTTTCAATTCTATCCTGGGGAACTCAGATAACATTACAGTGGGTATTTTTAATAAACATTTTCTGCCTGAAGCCTTGGCTCCCAGCAGCCAACACAAAACAAAGCACAATGCCTTTGCCTCGCCAGCCCTGCAGCGCAGTGCCGGAGGCACATGTGAAAGTCATCCCGACGCGAAAAGTTTTACCTCCCTTCTTGGCAGGGAGCGCTGGGTCCCAGGACCCAGGCAGCGCTCCTTGCCGTCGCTGGGCACACACAGCTACGGGAGCGCTTAGTAAAAAGGGAGAAGCAGAACGCCCCCTTCCACGCCAGCACCGCAGCGGGTGTCGACAGGGCTCCGTTCCAGGAAAGTGGCAGCGCCCCGCAGAAAGCAGCGCTTCGCAAGCGTATCGAAAGAGAAGAGAGCCGGGCAGAAAGCTGGAGGCGTGCAGGAGAACAGCACAGAAAGCAAAGTCAAACCACTCCTTTTGCAGAATGCTCATGGCATCTCCCCTATCACATTTAAAGGTCCAACTCTGCAAATCAACAGATGGAAACGCAAAAGCTTTGTAACTAGAAGCCAAAAGGCCTGACCCAAAACCCACCAAAATTGATGGGCATGTTTTCATTGATTCAGTGAATTCATCCCACTTAAATTCAGCCATCTAAGAGTGAGGTACTCGTTTTGGCACCTAAATCCGTAGTAGTGGGGAGAGAAAGGGATTTCCGCAGTACAATTCATTCCATATACTTTTTTTTTTTAATTGCCTCAAAGAGCGGGACACTATGCTACGTTTTGCTGTCAGCTGAAAGAACTTAAGCCTTTTCAGCCAGTACTTCCAGCTGTATTTTTCTCTTCCAGACACAGCAGTTTTCTCTCTTTAAGTTAAAACAGGGAGTGGGGGGGAGAAGAAGGTATACTACTATGAGTTCCCATAGGATAAAATTACAGACCGATGGTACAATTCCAGCTATGTCATTCTCCCTGGTTCATTTTTTTTTAACCTCAGTAATCTTACCAGCACATCCTTCTCCTGGCAGCAAAACTACCTCACTTATCCTGTAAGTGCCTTCAATTGCCCTCAGGCAGATGTGAACTGTAAACAAACTGTCAAAGCTGTAACTGGGATATCCAGTTAAAGCACTTTAAATAAAAACTTGGACCATCTAGAGAAAACAGGCCAGAGTAAGGAAAGAAAAGACTGTGGAAAAGTGCTTTTCTAACAGAACTAGTCCTTCTGCACTCGGAGCCTGGACCGCCTTTTCATGTGCTGTCTGCATAGCTTAAGAAAGCTCCTGCATTACGACACCTTGCCTGTTAGGAGTGGATGCCAAAACCAAACGCTGCTGCAGTCCTGCAGTACCGAGCTCCCAAACTGATGGAAGTGTAGTAAAAATCTTTGGGCAAAGAACTGTGTTAGAAGACAGACTTTAAATCTCCGCTACGCTGGCAGGTATCTTCAGCAACTCCCGCAAAGTTACTGGTGTTACATACATTCCCATTAATTTAGCCAAATTGTACTGGCATTTAAAACAAAAAGAACCCAAAATGTTTAAAATATTTAGAAGACTCAGACTATTAGAAGGTATCTTATCGTGCTTCTCTACTGCAAAAAGCTGGATTTCTTGCCATGTTCCCTTAGATTACACAGTATGGATAATGCGCAGAACATGCCGCTGAAAAGAAGGCAGTACTCCTTCTGAAACAGTAAAACAATCAACGCCCTAAACAAAGCAATTTCCTAGCAGTAATCATGCGTATCATGTAGAATAGTATGGCTTTCTGTTCTGTAAGGATGCAGAACCAAGAGAAGCCCTTTTACTTATCAAGACCAAACAGTAAAGACTAATTAAAGACTCAAGTGACCATAAATGAATTCTACTTAATTTGCTAAAGCAGAGCACTATTTCTGCTCATGTTGCTAGTTCTCCTCTGGGGCATGGGACAAATGTCTCCTAAACTCTGGGGCTTCCCCAGTTTCTCAGAAATACAGCTTGCTAAATGTGAGAGAGTAAGACGGTCCAACTTTTCAGATTTTAGTACAAGTGTGATACCAGAGCTAGAAAGAGCTACTTGGTAGCACTTTTAAGAGCTTAACCCTGAAGCCCTTACTCGGACAAAACTCCTGTTTGAGATGTATGAGCTTTCCAGTAAGGTTAATGGAAGAGATACGGAAATGGGCTAAGCACCTGCAACTGACATTCAGGTACCCAGTCCCTTTCTAGTTTTGTCCTTAAGCAATTTTTTTTATTCACGGATCAGAACACATTGCTGCAAATGGCTGATAGTTAAGCTGTCACTCTTCTTCTTTCTGAGAGACCATCGCCTGCTTGGGGCAACTGTAACTCCTGATCTGTTTGCAACCCATATTCTACTGCCCTGGGAGGAAAACATGTGATGACTGACCTGTACCTTCGAACCTCCTTTTGCTCCCTCAGCTGTGCCAAGCACAGCTCCCCTACACATCAGCCACTGGCGAGAGAAGGGACAACACAAGTGAGGGAAACACACAGGGCTACCTTCCCTTGCTGTGCAAATCTTAAACCTCCCGGGGCTTCAGTACAGCCTGCTTCCCCCTCTCCCTTGATTAAACAAAGAAGAGTATGAGACTGTGGGATCTTCTTGCCCCAAAAAAGCCATGGAGAAAAACCAGAGAAAGTCTGCTGCTGCAGGAGAGCACGCTGCCTCGCCTATGCAGTTTGTCTGACAACCAGCTGCAAATGAAATTCCATATTTCACTTTTTAAACGGAGAAAATTAAAGTTAATGACAGTTCTCACTCTAACCTGAAAAGGTTAACCAAGTAACTGTTTTAAAATCCTTTAAACTTACTCTTTAAAGAAAATGGTTACATAAACCGCTGAAAGTCAGGAAACTCGAGCTCAAACGTGTCAGTCTGTGGTTAAAAAATGGAAAGTGACAGGAGCTAGAGGTTGAAGAACATCATTCTCTTTAGCTTGCAGGGCTTCTACCTTGTGTTGTTTCCTTTGTTACTGGGGGAAGAAGATATCAAAGCAGCGCTATTTTCTCAAAAGGTTCCATTTCATGGTGTCTTTTGATAGCCTGCAGGGTTAAGTGGATGGTCTATGATTTAGCCTACTTTTCTATCACCTGTTAAAATGCCTATGTTAGGAGAGTGTGCATTATGTACTGCTACTGCTATGGAACATAATGTGAAATAAAACACAATTTTTACACAGGAAGGGCCAGAAACACAGTTTTTACGTAACCTGTTACGAGGCACTGTTCAAGCAAATGCTCACTACAGGTCATCAGTTTGCCTCAATAAGGGCTTCATATGTTATCCCAAAATCTTAACCCTTGGAAAAGTTCCTAGTGAGGCCAAAAACTCCCCACAGTGAAACTAAGTATTGTTTGAATGACAAAAATATAGAACGCAAAAATACAGGTTGTAACTAACTCCACCAATATAAAGCAGAAGTATTTGGGATCCATGCAATGGAGTGTTAGAGCAATTCCACCCTAAGGCAACACCTGGGTTTGGTGAGACATCTCCTATTCCTGCCAGTAAGAGAATACCGTGAGATTTGCCACGCAGGATAAAAAAGCTGGCTGAAGCTTCATACCTTACCAGAAAGATGCTACACACACCTGCCTTTACATCCAATGATTTCCAGAGACTTAACCAGCGGACCAAATGAGGATGAAGCCCAAACTCACCTTGGGTCTATGAGGGCTTTTTCTCCCATTGCTCTAGTGCAGCACCGATACCACCACGTTCCCAGTATAGTTATATGCAGCTCCCTGACCTCACACGCCAAATGATGTGACATGCTGTTCCTCCTAAGTGATGGTGAATCATATCATGCTACCTGATATGGTCAGCAACTACTATTTGCTAAGTTGCATATGATCAGTTGTGTGTCCAAAATGCAGTAAAAAGTATCCTTAGAGATTGTTTTGAACATTTGTTACTCTTGCCTTCTTCGGAATTTAACAGCAAAACAGTAAGTAATCAGGCACTTTGGTGAGCTTATTGCTAGCCGAATATCTTTATGTAAATACAGTGCAAGTTATTAAAGCAATGAAAAATACTACGGGCTGGTAAACATGCTACCTCCCTCTTATGTAAGTTCAAATTTAAAAGAAAATGGAAGAACCAAGCATATTAAAAGAAAAAGTAAGCTTTGCGCTCTCTTTCTTTCTCTCTTTCCTCTCCAAGCACACATCCCAAGGTGCAGAGAGTGCTATAATTCTTACCTGGACTGAAGTCAATGAGAATTTGCCTAAGTAAGAACAGTTGGATCAGGCCCAAAATATTAACAGCAGCAATGTAAACATATGCAGACACAATTAAATTTCACCCAGGTGAGTTCCTTCGTGTCTAATGTCTACCTGTATGGAATCAATGGATTTAGTCCAGTGTTTGTGTGTGTGTCAGTGTGCGTGTAGACGTATGTGGGCAATTTACCAAATTATAAACTAGAAAGTGTAGAACACAAGAACATGCTAAAAACCTACAAAATGCTACCAGTCAAAATCAAGCGCAAACGCTAACATTTTCAGTTGCTTTGCACCCTTCAGACACGCTGTGTCCTCATCGCAGACGTCCGGCTCCACTGGGACGAGGGGGAGAAGCATTAGAGCAGAGCAGCAGCAGTTTCTGGCATGAAAGAGAGCCAGACCGCCTGTCCTTTCTGAGCTGTACAGGGCCAAACTCCCCCCTGACGTGAGGCCAAGCAAGTCTGAGCAGGGAAGAAGCAGATTCTCCCTTTTAACCATGACTCTAAGTCCAATTCAGAGAGCGCAGCAGTCAGCAGACAAGACCACATTGTTACAAAAAGTCGGTATTTCATTCTGAAAAAGCTGTCTGAAAGTGCCACTGTCACAGAAACCGCTAGCCTCATTCTTCATTTAGGATTACATTTCAGCTGAAACACTCAATGTTTCTTCGCCGGCAGTCAGAATACTTTTATCTTCATACTGGTACACCAAGAAGCTGCATACTAAGTATTCATTTTGGGGCATTTTACAACTGCTTTTTCTTTCAGTTCAACACGTTTTAAACAATAAGATGAGTTGGGAAGTCATTTTTTACCTAGTTCCTACTTAAAGAAAAGTCATCTCTGTCCAAACAATGAGAATACCTGGCTTTTAACATGCAAAATTAAAGGCTTTTCCTGAGCAAGGGCTGAAGAATGGGATCCAGAACGGCCCACAAATTGACTCTTGTAAACTTCCTGAACAGAATCAGCACGAGTGAGGAGAGAAGGTTAAACAAGCCCTTTCATTTACAGCGGCTTGTAAAGAAATTATTTTTAGATAGCAGGAAACATAACACTGTTATGCCAAAGATCAAAAGAGCCTATTTTACAGGCACTTCAGACGCTTCATTTTTATTACAGGCAGAGCGCAGGCAACTACCACTAACAGGACAACCCACAACATACTCTGTTCAGCTACCTGAAAATGTTGCTCTAAACGTATGGAGGAGCCCGGAGTTTGGCTGGGGGACATGGCCAGGCGTTGGCGTGCTGGCAAGGCAGCAGGACCAGCAGCCTCCTCCCATGCACCAGCCGGGGAGCTCCAGTGACCCCCTGCAAAGCTGGAGCCCTGGGCTCCTTTGCCGTGAGATGGTCTGAATTCAGTCCCTAAATAACTGCCCTAACCCAGGGGCAGTGGACCTTCACACCCTCCTCTTAGCTGTCTACCACGGTGCAGCTGAGAAACACGGCTCATGAGAAAAGAGCAAATAAGCAATATGGACCGTGAGTCTTTGGCCCCGACGGACACCCCCATGCAGAGGGGAGACACGGTCCCTGCTCTCCAAAGCTGCTTTTCATCAAATGATTCTGCAGTGCAAAATACGAACCTACTCCATGGCAAACTGCGCCAAACGGGGACATGTGTGAAATCTTAATATCTCACTTTATAATGCCTGGCTAGAGATGCTTAATCAAAACCAGGTTTTGTTCATTTCTTCCTACTGTAAATAACCCCTAATGTAAATTCTGGAAAGAAGGAGGAAAGAAAGGATTAGCCATGTGGACTACCTGTCTGAAAGTCAGGAACTACGGAGTTATAATTTCCTTTCTGACAGTGACTCACCCTGGGGAATGAGACACTTTCCCTCAATTCGTCCATGTGGAGAAGGGATCTAAAATCACTTACTTATCTACCTCAAAAATACAGGCTGTGGTGGAAGGATAATTGATCATTATCTACACTGCGTTTCATTCTCTGAAGGACTTCTGTCCACAAGAGTTGACAAAGAGTCTGCTAATGACTTTGGTGGGGTTTGGATCAGGCCCTATGCAACAGCAACTGTACACGTTTGTTAACACTTGGAAAGACCATAAATACGCAAAACCCAGCCTCGCATCTGGCTCACATTAAAACAGTCGCACATTTAATTCAGTTCAGAGATCCCAAGACGTACGACTGGCCATAAGCGTTAGGAGGCCCCTTCAGACCACCGTTTACAACCACCTTTCTGGGACGACCTCAGCCTGCGCTCAGGGAAAGGCTGGGCGGGCAATCCTGACTGCACCTGTGCCGGCCAGCCGGGCAGTGCCAGAGTCTCTGCTCTCGCCCTGAAGCCAGTGACAAGTCCTGGCCACCACCACACCACTCAACTCTCCTGCTCTCCCAAACAGCAGAGCCGCCTACAAGAAGTCTAGAGGAAAAAGCCCCTGGCCAGCGTTAATTCTCAATCCTACCAATTGAACAGTGGAGCCAGCTGAGTTACAATGCCCCAGCACGGGGCTTTGCCCTGTTTAGCCTCGTGGCAAGCTGTAGGCTCCGCGTCCTCACGCTCCACAGGTAAAGTGAGATCCTCAACCACATTCATCTGAACTTTTCATTCTTCCATACTCAAAACTTAAAATCAGTCTGTGAGAAAGCAAAATATATATATATATGTATTTTCACATTCAAAGGGTATTTTTATTAAAGAATAGTTACCTGCAGAGGACTAGCTAGTGGCCTGTTCCTAGGTACTGAAAATGTTTTGTGAAAACTACCATCCTCTTCAGACATGGGCATCTTTAAAATGGAGCTGGTAAGAAGATTCTGAGCAGGAAAAGAAAAAAAAACGGTTTTCAGTAAATCAAGAGAACAACCTGAATTCAAACGTATTAAAAGCAAACTCAGCCTGACTGCAGAGGGTGCAACACTGGGCACAGTCCCAGACAAATGCAAGAATAACAGTAACACTGAATAGTCCCGGTGAAGCAAAGGGAACCATGCTCATGCAAGGTCTCCTTTGCACAAAACAAAACAGACTCTCTCTTTCTTTTACCAGTTTTAACTCCGTGACATAGTCATTTCTATATACAGGTGCAGGCGTCCTCCAAGTACAGGCTCATTACAAAGACTGTGGGCTGCACGATGACTGCAACTTCTGCTACCTTCTACAGGCATTACAGTGATCTAATTAAGAGCGGGATTTTGCTTCTTATGCTTAATACAGGAAAACGATACGGAAATAATGAATAATGCCTACTTGTGAGGAGGAAGGTCAGACAAAATATATTCTCTCTTGCATTTAAGAACTCAACAGGGATGTAAAGCAGAGAATTCATTTGGTGGTGTGAAAACTTGCACTTACTGGCACATCTTCCATAGTAGACGCATGTGTAAAGAGCTGAGTGTTCAGGTTTTCTCCTTCCCAGTGATTCGAGCAAAAAAAATTTCCAGCTTTATCTGTTGGAGACTCCACCTGAAAGCAAGAAAGGCACCATGATAAAAACCAGTACCTAACTGACCAGGAGGAGATTTATCTGTCAGTTGCTAAATAAATTGAATAAATATTCTTCACAGCTGTGCATAATGCATGTTTACTGTACTGTCTTTTACAGCACTCTTGCTCTTTGCAGAAGAAAAAAGTTTAAGGTTCTCAAAAAAGTCCCCACCTAATAAAACTTTGAATACTTGCACTCAGCGCTCTGACAGTATTCAGGAGTTTAATCCCCTAGAAAGGATTGAGAATATATGTATTTTTAGAACTTTAGTGTCAAAGTAATATAATGCAATGTCCTCAATTGTTCAGGTTTCTAAGTCACTCCATGGAGCTTGGTCCCTGTGGGGTTCTTCTATAGTTTTCACCAATATTCCAAATTCCTGTCTAATTTTTTTTTTTCTTTTTAAGTTTCAAACAGAAACTGCATTAGAACAGCCCAAGCAAACCCCTGCTGAAAACAGCAGAAAGACTTCTATGGAAATCAATGGGAGATGAATTAGGCATGCCTAGTATACTATATAGAACCGACACTAAGATCTTGGGGCTCACATGAAAGAAAAACAGACACAGCTATTTAACAGAAAAGGTATTGGTATAAGTTTCTCAGCAAAGAGTGCTGAATTAAATTGCCTCAGGTAAGTTTGAGATTTACCTCTTGTTTGATTTTCTTCAGCAAAGGGGGACCACTTTCATGTAGGCCAGCCGCTATTGCAGATTCCTCCGACTCCTGCTTGATAACGTCCTGCAGATCTTCTACAAGATGAGTCGGAGTTTGAGGCTGAAAGGAAGAAACGTTATATCCAAGTCCCAGAACATCCCACTGCACTAGTATCAAAGTAACTTTTATCATTGTTTCCTTCTTACCAGCATCTTCAAAGGACCATATTTGATTTCCTGAGCTGCAAGTGCGTTTTTGAATGGAGTGGGTGTTCTTGGAGAGCTCTCTAATATCGACCTCTTGATTGCTGGAGTTCTGAATCTTTAAAAAGAGGGAGAAAAACTTTAAAGGAACACGCTTGGAAATATTATCTCTTTACAGAAATACGTGCATACAGGCAGTGGCTGCTCTAAGACTCGGACAAATATTTTCCTGCAATCCTATAATCCATTTTGCTTTTCTGGCAGAACATCTATTGAACTGTGATAAGGTGGAATGGCTTTATTCAAAAAACTGGCGAGTCTATATGCATGATTGTTCTGTATTAATAACCTACCTCCACAGTTATAAAGTGGAAGTTTTACTTCAAATGAAGAAAAATCTGAATGTGTTAGCAAACAACTCTGCAGGAAGCATACAGTGACCCAGCACTTTGGTTGCGTGCAAACCTGAAGAAATGAACCCTCGGGAATCTGGCAAGACAATGTGATAACAGACTTACATGTGATTTTCCTTCTGAGCTTTCAAAGTCTGGTCCCTGTGGAACGGCGTGGCAACAGCCATCTTATGGCCACACACCGGCGTGGAAGTTAGCGCAGGGTTGTCCAGGTTCAGGTTTTCGTGACTGGATGAGGAAAGGAAAAATCAACAGGAACATCCAGATTACAACGTTGACTTCTTAAGTTGATGTTATTGAACAAAAGAAAAAGAAATTATTTCCTTCTGATTGACATAAGTGATTCGCCCGACCCTACGATGCGGGTAGGTGTATATGTGGTACCTGACTACACGGCAAAACAATACTCAACAGTTTGGCTGGAGCACTCAGGAAGCCAAAACAAGCATTTATAGAGAGGGAAGTTATAAAGAAAATGATACTCCGTTCCAGTGAGAAACACTCTCCACCACTTCAAGAGCCACATCTTAAAAGCCTGATTTGGATTTTCTGCAAATAAATTTTAATTAAGAGCAGTGTGCCCAAGTGAGAACTGGGTGAAAATGAGTAAGGGATGTTTCAGGAATAAACCTACAGGAAATGGGGCTAAATTCCACAAAGATTTATATAGGGAATCGAGGTGCTTTTAAGGCAGTAAATAAAGTGTTTATGACAGGAAAATAAATTTCCTATCATCTCTCTCAAAACAAAGTGCTCCGTTTTCACAGCATAAAAAGAAAACTGCCACATGTGATGGGTGCATGGAGTGACTTGGAATGGAAATAGCTGACCGAAAAGGAGGCGGCAGTATTAGTTTGGAGAAAATTGCTTTTGCATGAGTTCTACCTAGTAACCTAAAATATTGTTTCCATTTCTAGTGTCTACAAATCTGTGAGTGTAGTGGTATCCTTTATTCTGACAACGATTCACTGTACTACCTTCTAGACTCAACTTGCATCGGATTAAAATACACTTTATAAAAATATGGCATCTAAGAAAATACGGATTTCACCGGATAAATGATGTATGATTAAAATACCTAATAGGTAATGGGAGATACAGTGGGAGATCATTACATGCGATCTTTTTTTCATGAAGTAGCGTTTCTCTGGCTTCAAGGACTAAAGCCAAACCAAGGCAAACCCAACACAAACAGACAAACAAAAAAACCAAAACACTTTTAAATAGTGCTACAGCTGTGAAACAAAGCAACCATCGGCAGGAATTTGGAAGTGCACGCCAGGCCATTTTAACAGGCCATTTTCCTCCTCATTCCTATTCCACTCCACCCCACATGGCCCGGGTTGAGGATGGCGAGCCGCGATTTGAATTTTCTGGTTGTTGTCAGTTTGTCTCACAACCTGAATGCTATTTAAATGCAGTTTGGGGTTTTCTAGGTCAATGAATCATACTGTAAGTGGACAGAGATGGAAAGTATTACAAATGATCAGAAATGTTAAACTCTAGTAGTTGAAGGAGTTAACAGCAAGAGCAAAGCAAGCAATCGTATTCCCCTACAAAAATAATCCAAATCAAAAAACCCCCCAAGCCCCACAGATGAATTTAAAATAAGAGAATCAACAGTTAGCTGATGATCTAAACCCAGCGGTGAAGACTAAGAGCAGTGAGAAGATTCAAACACGGAGTGAAATCAACAAGCGCAACGGTAATTAGTCATTTGTTCCAAAGGATTAGTTTCTAAATTGTTAAGGCTGGGGTGACTTTTGAGAATTAGTAACATCTGTGCAGAAGTCTTGATCTACCTGCGAGGGAGAGAAGGGCAGGCTTTTGACAGGGGAGCGCTTAGGAGGAGTTGAGCTGCTGACGTCAGCTAGGACCAAGGTGCTACCGTGGCCACTGGCTAAGGGGCTGGAGTGCCCTCTCCTTTTGCGAAGAAGGACCCACGGAGCCGCGCTGCCCTGTGAGGCAGATAAGGACTTTGGTGAGCCAGGAGAGCCCTGACTCGACATGATTTTGCTCAAGTTTGTGATGGGGTGTCCTTGAGGTCTACAAGCACTGGCCCCTCTTTGCTGAAGCTGCGCGACTTTGCCTGAGGGAGCTTTGCTAGCCGAAGTGTCTGTGTCTTCAAAGAATTCAAAACTGCTGAGATCACCCCATGATGAAGGATCCTGAAACAACGTGGGAGGCACGGAGCTATAAGACAGTGTATAGTGCCACCTCATGAAAATACAGCGCTAGGATATGCCCGTAACCACCACCACCAACAAAGTCTTTCCCAGTTCAATTCAGCTTGACCCTGTTTAATTGAGTAGTAACACTGTGAACGCTTATTTGTTTTCAATATATACCTTGATCACATCAAACCGTCTATCATCCTGGTAGCGTTGCTGGCAACTGACTCCCTAAAGAAACAATGAGTCAAATGATGTCCTTACTATCTACTTGCCCAGGGTTTTCTGCTTGGTATGAAGACAGTGCCTTTCACTACCAAAAAATGTGTGCCTTGGGCTCTAAACCAAGACTAGTCTCCTCTTAACCTGCACGCCTGCTCTGGACGTGCTGAATGGGACGTGATGCTGCATGAAGCAGACACCACTGGTGCTGAAGGAGGGTGCCACCAACAAACGTATTTCAACGTGCCGCTTCTGTTACACATAGTATCCCAGAGACCACAGTGAGAAAAGGCCCATGCCAATGTCAGTCAGCTACCTGGCATTTAAAACGCATGTTTCCAGTTCTTCACATATGCCAGGGCAAGCTCCTTAACCTTTGAGAAGCAGCTATTGAAGCTACAACAAAAACTTTTAGAAAATGATGCAGATACACGAGCAGCCACACATAAACCTACGGCATGTGTCACTTCAAATATAAATAAGTATCATTTCACTGTTTTAAAATCTTTCACGGTGTCTCTGATTTTATTTTAAGGAGACTTAATATCGAGAGATTGTTTCAAGCTCCTATTGTGCAGTTTGCGAAAAATCACACTCCCATACCAAGATGTAGCAGGAAAGGGAGACACCCACAAAAAGCATACGCATCCACACCTGAGGGCTTCATCTACGAGCAGCCGCGTTTTGTTATGTCAGAAGCTAAGCTTCAGATCTTGTAGCAATTAGAAGTTACTCGGAAAAAAAAAAGAAACACATTTAGTTCCTCTCCCCTTACTCCTTCACGACGCACGAATCCACCTGAGGCGGCAAGTCTACTTACGGAGTCTATTAACTGGAGTGTTTCTGCAAATTCTAAGAGATTCTTAACATTATCCAGGATGTTGCTCTGGTGAACAATCATGCACCGTGCAGGGGATGCACTTTCCTCAGGTAAGCAACCGTGATCCACCGGTGGAGATGGAGTACAGTGGTGATGTTCCCCCAAACAGGAAACAGGTGCATTGTCACCACTGGTCCTGGTACTGTCAGCAATCGTGGTGCTGTGCCAGCCGGGGTAGTTTGATGTGTGGTTCTGTGTCTAAAGGAAGAAGGAAAAAAAAAAAGAAAAGGGGGGGGGAAAGGCAGAAGGAACTTAGCAATGAAATTGCACAAGGTGTCAGATGCCACTGGAGGAAAGATAAAAGTAGTTGCATCATCATCTAAAAGCTTATGCCTATGAAACAATTGTCAAGATGTTTCCTTTCATCAGTGCAAGATCTCGTTTTAAGTAATATCGGCTTTGTGTTTGTTATCCCAAAGTTACCTCATAATCTACTTCCAGGATTATGAGCATATATCATTACTAATACATCATCAATTCATACTGTGTTACTCCAAAAGCTCAAAAAGTGCCTGCAAGTCATTTTTTGTGAGAAGCAAGAAACGGCAGGATTTCCCTACTGAGCGCTCAGCACTGTAGAAGGCTAAAGGGTTTAAGAGTTAGAGTTGCTTTTGTTTGCTTATCTCCTTTTCTTCTTCTATCCCTGTCTAATGCTACAGCTTACACCAATGCAATGAAGAGGCTGTCAAATCAACGTGGTTAGGAAAGCAGAAGAACAAATTAACAGAAGTTTCTTTCCAGTGTGATCATGCAACAGAAGAAATTGCAAAACATTAACTAAAGTTAAAAAGTGGCCAAACTAACGTATCATGCATGCAGTTGTTTTACTATTAATTTAAATATTACCCAAAAAAAGAATCTGCTGGCTATCACCTATCTTCAAAAACGATTTGGGGATTCTTGGCTTTGGTGATGGTGTTAAGTAATTACGAAAGGGTTTTCGCATATTAACATCCAATGGCATATACAACGAAGTGTGAGAATTCAGTAATAGCCAGCATTTGCTCCACACATGCAGTTATGAAGAATCTAACATTATTCGGAGAAGTAAAACAAACTGTCAAACATGCACCAAGTCTGAAGCTTACAAGGTGTATAAAACACAGCTGAAGGAAAGAATACAACAGAGAAGAAAAATCTAATGTACAGGCACTACATTTTCATCACATGAACCATTGCACACTTTCAGAAATGCAGATCCCATTGATTTAAGATCTGTGGGATTTTTCATTTTCGTACAATCATCATGTTTCCAATATTATATCACGTTACAGAGCCCAGCCCTGCTCCCACTTTGTGAAGTAAAATACCTGCAAACTGTTTGCTTTTTTTTTTTAATAAAAGAATTTACGAAGCAAGTACAGATTATATATGTGCTATGTTTCATCCTTTTAAAACGGAAATATAGAGCCTTGATTAGTATCGAAGGCAGAGGGGGAGTAAAAAGTTAAAAAGACAAGCACTGGGGTAATGCTGCTATCCCTCCATCCAAGCACACAGTGACAATCTTACTGGTAATGCCTGCTGCCCTTTCAGTTCATTCTCAGTCGACATTAGTAGCAACTCTAATTCCTTTATTCGTTTTTCTTTCTCAGGGTCTTCATCATTATAGTGTCTCTGAAATTAAGAGTTAAGGGAAAAGAAAAGATAAAGGTCTGATAGGATGTAGCAACTAAAACGCTTATGGCTTGCCGTCCTGTGGTTATAACAGACTCAAATTAGACTCAAAGACGAAACAAACGTCAATTGTGTTTTCCACTACCAAAGTCCCTGCTGAATTTCAGTATAGACATTTGAAATGGAGAAAGTGAAAGCCATCACACCAGATGTCAACTACTGTGTTTTAAATGCACTTCAGAAGAAGTAATTATTAGCCATGTTAGAACTCCCCCACCTTCCCCATTTTCTCTCTTCACCACACTTATTACATTAAAATGTTTCCTTAATGTACGATTTTGACTTATCCAATGTTTAACAAATTGACTCTTGAAATGAGGTTCAAGTTATCTACCTGAATAGCTGCAGCAGCTGGCTGAGGAACATTGACAATATTTACATGCAGTGCTACTGGATATGGGATCTGACCAGGGACCTAGGCCAAAAAGCAAAAGACACTAAAAGTTATTATTTGTATCATACTGTCTGCCTGCACTGTGAATTTGTGTTAAACATACTTCGGGTTTAGGTACATAATATTTATAATCTATGGAGATGAAATAGCAAAAAACCCAACAATGTTTACAAGAACAGTGAACAGTTTTTTAGGAATATGACACGTTACAGAGGAAGAAAGAAAATTCATATATGAAATATCTACCTTTCCTGAATGAGAAAAGATGAATAATTTACAGATGCATTTGTAAGATTTTTCTAAATTGAAGTGAAAATGCAAAAGGTGCAATTCCTTACCGCCTAAAACTCTACAATGTAACTGTCTGAAGCAGCAGCCTGTTTCATTATTAATCATTAATAGATAAGGAATCAGATTAAAAACAATACTTGTTTACTCGGTTCCGACAGGCAACCCACAAACAGAGTATTACTGAAGGGAACGTGGAAGATTTTGACACAGAACACAGAATTAACCAGATTCAACTGATTTTCAAGAAATGTAATATTCACCGCTACAAGAAACAGTACTGGAAACACGTTCATTGCTTACTAGACATTAAAAACGCCAAACCCGATTCCACCACCTGAATGCCGGCGACCAATTTGAAACATACATATTTGCATCACTGAATGAAGTCAAAGTCAAAGAAGTCCTCGCCTGACATCGAACACAAACAAGTCCACCAAGACTGGGAGAAAACCCTTCGTGCTTCCTGAAATCAGGTATGGCTAAATTGCACCCACCTATTCAACAAAGCAAAACAAAACAAAACAAAACAAACCCACGTTTTCAGGCGCTTACGTTTTGTGGCTCAGAGATGTGGTAGTAGGGGTAGTCACTGCTCAGCGGGGGCTGGCCGGCTACCGGCAGCTGTGCAGAAGGCGGGTTGTGAGCAAAGGCCATCAAGTGGTTGCTCTTCTGAAAGCCAGCGGCTGCTGAGGAGTGACAGGCTTTGGAGGACTCCTGCAGGTAGCCCTCCTGCTCAACCTTTCGGCGCATGGTGGAATTCCAGTGGTTCTTGATAGCATTATCAGTTCTGCAACAGAAATACATACAGTTTGAGGAGTTTTAAGAACGAGCGTTTCCAAGTCAGATTAATAGGCAGGAAACTGCTGTTGGCATTTCTGTTTAAACCTTGAGCTGTTCTCTGACCTTCCTCCTGTCCCCAACTTTACAAATGCTACTCTCAACTTCTCAGGAAAGATGCTCAGTATACAAGACAGGGGAAAAGACAAATGGGCTACAGATGTTTATGTACTTTTTAAAGCAATCTCTAAGCCTTAGGTCCTCAAACTGCAAGAAATGAGTAACTTCAGCTTCACCTCCTTCCCATGAGGTGAGGTGACAGCAAAGGCTAACACCCCTTTGAGGCTACCTTAAAGGAGTGCCAACATCATCTTCCTGAGCCTTAATATTACAGTGGAGTTTTATTGTATCTCACGGCTGGAAAGAAAGACTGTGGAGAACAGCTGTGAAAAGACTAACTTCCAAGCAACTTTCCAACTGGCCACCTAGACAATGACAACACCACGCTATACACACAAATTCAGTAAACAAAGCTGTTGGGATTTTTCTTAGCTGCAGAAAAACTGAGAATCAAATTCTCACATATGTGAGTCAGAAAAAGCAAACTTATCAAGTCTGTGAGATTTTAAGAGTACGCTTAGAAACAGCTCCTCTATTTGAAAAACATCACCACCACATGGTATTGTTGAAAGCGGTATCTGTGATGTATGGAAGCTACAAAAAAACCTTTCCAAGGGGCAATTCCTTGCTTGTTTTCGTCTAGAAGGTGAAAGCAGCCTAGGGAATGCCCGCTTAAAAGGCTATCATGATCTTAGGCATTGTATTTAGATCTTGAAGATGTTTCACCAAATAGCAGGAATAAAAATGGGAAGGGAAACCTCTCCCTTGCTTACATTATTTGCTTGACTACACTTTACGTTGAGCCACTTTTACTAGAGAGCGAGTAAGACACTGAATCTCTGAAATTATATGCAAGCTGTGTATAAGCTTTCAATGAGACAAGCAAGTATTTCCAGGACCAGAGTTTGAGGAAGTCAGTTTCTCCTGTTTTATACATGGATTTTTAACAGGTCAAAATCATCTGGATGATTCAGGAGCATTAAAAATGTTGAAGCAGCCTTCTCTTAAACAATTTTGAACAAACAGGCCGGATTTCATGTTGAAGGTATACCCTTAGCTGAATGTAAATTACGTTTCACTTGCAGAGCCTGATCCTTCCCTGTTAAATCAGTTTAAATTTTGACAGTTATTGCAAGCACAAATAAGATTGCACAGACATTTAGGAAACTGTTATGGTCTTGCTCTAGTTACTGGTTTTTTTTTACCTGTGGCAAACATCAAAAGCATGTAAAAATAGCATACTGTTCCATGTACTGACCAAACAGCACAGTTCCCCACTGAGAAAAATGCACATTGATGTCACTAGCTTTCCAGGTTTCGATTCCAAAACTTTTTGATTTATAAAGTGCAGCCCAAGGCAACTGAAACGGACTGCTCAGACCTGCAGCTTTTTCCTTTTTTCCTATTTAAGAGCTAAAGGTGTATGTCATTACCGTCCAGGCAGCAACTTTGCAATTTCTGCCCATCTGTTTCCCAGTCTCTTGTGTGCCTGGTAAATAATTCTATCTTCCTCTTCTGTCCAGGAGGTTTTCTTCACTTCTGGATTCAAATGGTTGTGCCACCTCTCCCTGCACTGTTTTCCAATCCTTCCCTTCAAATGCTTAGCAATGACAGACCAGCGCTTTGGACCGTATTTCTGCACGAGTTCTATTACCTTCAAAGAAGGACATAAAAACTGCCTGTTTTTAACGATGCATAATGAATCAATGAAATTTTTCTGTGGTGGAGCAATATTTTCAACAACATTTCTCAAAATTGCCATGGTAAAACTAACACACAATTAAGCTTCCCCACTTCCCATTTATACTTTTACCCAAAAGGAAAAATCTGGTAATAGTTAAGGCATTTCTAGACTGCAGTTCTACATTACAGTGCTGTAAAGCAACATTAATTAATTTTCGTAGAAAACTTAGAAAGCACTACACAAATACTCTAAGCATTGATACTGATAGGATCAGTCTGCCTCTGGCCGTATTAGTGTTGAGACCACCGAAGTCTCTAGCAGTTTTTCCCCAACACATGAGATCTGCTAGTAAGGCATTAATCAGACGGAAAGGAAAACTGATTACCCTTTGATCCTCCTCTTTAGTCCACGGACCTTTAATAAGTTCTGGGTTTAGTACCTTCTGCCATCGGTGCTGGCACTGAACATCTGTCCGATTCTAGTGAAATGTAAAATATGCAAAGTAGATCATTCTTTAGACAAGATGAATGTAGAGTGATAACGCTCTTATCTAGGGATGCTTGTTCCCGACGTATTTCTACTACCACTACTAAACAATATGGGGGGATATAGTAGGTCAGAGAAGAAGGTGCTCAACTATCACTTTGCTCACTGAACTAGCTAATATTCCTGCAGTGATGACTGTATCACCAAAACTACACAAACTGAATCTTCACCGTCTGGCACAACAGCCGTCATGCTTTCATTCGCAGTATTTCTACAACAGCCAAAGTGTTCACAAAACAATTATTTTCTAAACCACACTTACAATTCATCAAAGCTATTTTTTCTCTGTGCTGAGACATTTTGTTTCTGTGTCACATTGACCGTCTACTGTGCAACACCCCTCCAACCCCCATTTTTGCTTGTTTGATTTTTTCCAACCCTTTGTGAGAAATGAAAGGAAAATTAAGATAAGGGTTTCCACAATATTCTAACTAAATTTCTGAGGTCTCCAACTGTGGAGGTTTTATATCTCCCACAGAATGTAACTATAAAGCAACCACTCCCCTTTCCCTTACTTGGAAACCTCTGATAAAAGAGTTGTCACTAGAACTAGAACCAGAAACCAATATCCACTTACAGGAAGGAAATTGGCAATGACTTTCCAGTCTTCTGTGCCATTCTGCTCCACAAGCTTCTTCAGTTTCTCATCCTGAATCATTAAAAAAACCAGACATACTTAATATTGCAATCTCTTACAATGCAAATGAAATACATTTTAAAAAATTGCCTTCTTCGAGCTTTTTATGCATCTATTTCTGCATCCTGAGTGCAAGGCAAGGTGGTCTGTAGTCTTCTCATGTTTTTAATTGCCTAAATCAGGAGATTTTTCTACTCCTGTGGATTTTGGTAGGCTCTTGACTGTGCTGCAGGAGAAAGACTGACTTTTTCTGTGCTGTTCTTTGACTCGCATTATACATTCCCATTTTACTGCTCAAAGCAATGTAACTGTTATTCTTGTACTGGATTTACAGGAGGGCATGGATGTTTAGATGCCAGCCATCAGAATAACAATGAAATTCAGTAACACTCAGGCACCCAGCTGTCTGGGGACCTCTGAAAATCACAGCCTTATATGTCTTGCAAGTAATGGGAGTTCCAGTAATTTGCTCATTGCCTATCCGTGTACAATGAATGCACAATAAAACTAATGGCTCCTTTTTGCTCCTGAACACTGCGAGGGATTTTTGCATATTCGCAATAGCAAGAAATTTGGCCCAGTATTTTTAACGATAAGGCCAGAAATATAGACCTTAAGGACAAAAGAAACCAATCTCATATACTGGGAAAGATCGAGATAGTGTAAGACAAGCGAGAACTGCCCCAAGAGATAAGAGGAGGGGAGCAACCCTCCCCCTTCCCCCATTAGCGCCTTCCAGTTCAGGTGACAGGACAGTGGCCACTGGGCTCCACGGCTCCATCTCTTCCTCCCAGGCCACATCATAAACACATCCACCTCTGTAAGAGCAGACTATGATTTAAAAAACAATTAAAAATGCCGGTGAGAGGTGACCTGCCACTGTTTATATATCAATATACGTTGTGAGAGAGGAGAAAGTCAAAACATAGCTTAAGAACTGTATTAATGTATTTCACGATAAACTCAAACCAGTTAAATGGCCACAGGATAGCCACCTGGCAAAGGAATTTGATACCACAATTTACCCAGAAAGTCAGCACAAGGGTACCGTGACTAAAACGCATTCTGACCTTCAAAAACAAAATAGATCTTGAAAGTTCAGTTTTGGTACTGCTGGATTTCTTTCTTCCAGCTTTTAATTTATGTCCACTCAGAATCATAATGCTGCAATTAAAGTGCAAATTTCAAATGGCACAAAAGGACTGCAGCAGTTTCTGCCACAGTTGTTTGCTGCTGTGGGACACTGAACACACGTCAGTTCTCGCATAGCAACCGTTTTCAAACAAAAAGAGGCAGCACGAACAATCAAGCATTGCTGCAGGTGACTCTTAATCCGTTTCTCCAACAGGGATTACACGGAGACTCACATACCTGTAACGTAGACCTTGGTGGACATAAAAAAATGGTGTTTATACATTTTATTTAAAAGAGAAGAACGATCCTCAAAGTTAAATAAAACACTGGATGTAGCTAAAGGGTCGAAAACTTTGTCCTCGTTCATATACATGGGACTGTCACTGAAGTGGTTTGCAGATAAGCAACTTGGAGAAGAACGTGATCCATGCTCTCTCCATCTTTTTACATGCAGGAGATGAATGAACTTGGATTTACCTCTTCGCGGGTCCACCTGGTTTTTCCTAAGTGACGTTTTCCAGTCTTAGGAAGCAGACCATCATAATCGTGATCGTACATCTCAACATCTTCTTCGTCATCATCACTGCTATATATACTGCAGACGGAAACACAGCGAGACACAGAGTGGAACATGAGGACTTGAGCTACTTAATTACAAAGCACAAAAAACCCACTACAATCCTTACAAAGGTTACACAGATAAAAGTTTTAAAACTTGCACAACAAGATTTTGTTCTGCATTCTGTTGTTCTAGTATTCTGAACTGGTTCTGCTGTTTTTGGTATCCACAGATACAAGCAAAGGGCTGGCAACCTTCGTATTACTCTGCATGTTTAGACCTGCTCTTACTGTTAGATCAGCGGTGAATTACACATTTGGCAAACTTTCAACCAATGAAGGTTTCAAATTAAAATACAATGTTTGGGACAATGGAGTGAACTAGAGGCTGTGTCCATTACACAAGTGCATGCTCAGAATCTTTAACTCATGCCATACATTCTGAAAAATACTAGCATTTTTGTACATTTAGTAGAGCAGATAGTTATATCGTTCCCAGATAAAGCACACTGTGTATATATACAAAAAGTTAACCGATAATAACCTTGTTTGAGAATATGGTTATGGACCCTATATGTGAAGGCAAAAGTTTCTCTACAGTTAAGTAAAGCCAGTAAGTGGTAGCATTAACATGCAATAAGCTCTAATATAAAATGTGCCTGCCATTTATGGGTCTGGACAGACAAGAGCTGAGGACAAGTATATTTAATATCCTGCAACCAACAAATGAATGATTGAACCCTTTTATACTCTCCATTTGTCTAACTTAAGACTTTATTACCTCTACTCCATTTCTAAATACCTCATACTGTTTTTGAAATACTCTGCCACTCACCTAATTCATGACTAAGGGATTTCCCCAGAGGCTATCTATGGGTAAAAAGGACTCTTACTCTTTTCGCAAACAGCACTTGCTCTACCCAGTTAACTAAAACTAAAAGAGAGTGTTTTGCAACAAGAGCTGTCTTTCTGGTGGGCAGTATTTTATTTTCAACTTTTAAGATATGGGCACTGACACTTCAGCTAAGAGGCGATAACCGCAAGTGCTGGAAAGGAGACAATTGTCATGCTACGAGACTAAAAACTGTGATATATCTGATGGTATGGTATGCTGTGGTATGTTAAGGTATGACTAAGACATTAAAATAAGGTTATTTTGTAATAAAATTATCAGGCATTGTTTATCCCGTTAGCCTGTTTTCAGGGGATCACTTTTTAAATCAAGCTGCAGTGAAGCACAGAGACTGTTAGTCAAGACGCAAACACCTCCAAAATGCAAGCTGTTAAACGTATATTCTTTTAAAGTACACTGGGCTAATCACACCTTACATCTTCAACCCTGTGTTCTGGCCTGTGGCATGTGCCATGAAAACTATGCTACACGTAGGAAGTTTTCCACAGCCTGCCGTGATGTGTGTGGCCTGGCCTTCCCCGAGCCTCTGCCGGGTGGCCCCTGACTCACCCTCCCAGCCCATCGCTGCCACCCTCAACTCGCCCCGTAGCCCTCCAGCCTGCCTGGCCCCACGGTGCACTCCCTATTCCCCGGCCCGCGTAACCATTTGGGGGAAGCGCTGACTAAAGCTCCCACTCTGCACGCCAAGGCGAGCGCGCACCCCTCGTTGGCAGCTGGAGCCT